GATGATTTGTTAATATTGTACTGTTTGTGTGTTTTAGAAAGGATATGACAGATATTTGTTTTAAAGAATTTAGAATGTAAAAGACAAAGAAAAAAGGGTGGAGGCAAAAATATGTCATTATTCTAACAATGTATACATTGCTTAAGTACATATTGCACCTAAGATATAGTATTAGTCAGACAAAGGTGAAATATGTGTAGTAATAAATAGCACTTAAACAGAAGCTAGTAACTTTTTCAGGTCCAAGTCTGGAAAATAAATAATAGAGAGAAGAGAGACAGACAGGCAGACAGACAGACATCCATTTTATATAATATCCTGGGCACTCAAACAAAGAGTTGATTTCAGTGAGAATGAATAAGATTTTGACATCATCTTGCCTGATCTCAGGAAATTTCAATATTCTCATTAGAGACCTGTATAAGATTTCAGTGGTCTTTATTTTTATTTGGGGGAGATATCAGGCTCCAGAATCCAAGAAAGCACATTGTAATTCTTCTAAACAGCTTTCTTTATTATTCCTCTCCTGTAGACAGAATCCTATCGTGTTTCTCATATAATAAGGCCGGGTCTTATTTTTTTTTGAGCCCCGAAAAAACGGCTAGGCCCTCTTTTCGGGGGTGACTTAATTTCCTCCCCCCGCTTGCATCTTAGGGCGGGTAGCAACGGCTTGGATGTTGACCTCGGCGTTGGTGGGGCACTTTGTATCAGGGTCAACGCAGGCAGCACCATATCCGGGTGTGCAACAAAAGTACTTCCTAACAGCAAGCCCCCCCCCGCCATTTCCCCCCCATTTCACATGTTTTAATATAGGCCTTAATTTGGGGGGAGGGGCTTAATTTCATGCCTATAAAACATTTCCTATTGGGGAAGGCCGTATTGTTGGAGAAACAGGGTACCAAAAAAAGTAGACTACAGCCCCATAAAACATATATTGGGAACTATAAAGAAGGAACCTGTCTTCTCCCTCTTTGTGTCACAGAAACAGTGTTGTCTCTTGCCCCTCAGGCATTCATTCCCTCCCTCCTGGAAATCCGGACAATGTTCCATCACAGGAGATGTGGTATATGGATAGCTGAGTTAAAATAAAAGCAAAACATTATTTGAATTAGAAATGAGCTAAACTTTTTCAGAATACCGTTTTCTTGGGGGTGGGGGAGTCTGTGATCTTAGATTAGAATTTTCTAAGAATAGTTCTATCAGAGTTTGTGAAACCATCGTTTTCTACTTTCAGTGCCAAGGAGGAAAAATCTAGAATCTTGCAAGGCTGTTAAAACAATTGCTGTTGCAACCATTTGTGGCAATGTTAAAAAAAAATAATCAAAGACCTTAGGAAAAAGAAGCAATATATGGCCAATACTACCTCATCTGCACCACCACCACCACCCCCCGCAAAGTAATGAAAAGTATTTCATCTCTTTTAGAAAAATTGGACAATTTTGAATGGATATGGTAATAATTTGTAGTGCTATTTTTGACAAAAAAAATATATATTTTAAAATTGCAGAAGTATTGATCTGGAAAAGAAATGCCATTCCACATGGTATGCAATGATATTTTTTTAAAAAAAACAAAGTTTTTGTCCCTATCAGGTCTGTTCCTAATCCAAATTCCACTGTCCACAAATTTATCTTTAAGGAAAACAAACCTGTTGGAAGATAAATGCCCCATTTGCAGTAAACATTCGACTGCTTCAAATTCAGAGTGCATGGGAGTGTGATATAGGACCTGTCTGCAGCTCTTTAAAGCAGCTGCATCATTTCTTGGGAATGCAGTGGTGGTATCTCTTGGGAGAGGGAGCAAAAAATAACTTACAGCAGAGTTGTAAACAGGTGTCACATGTCCACATTCTCTGAAGCATCTTTTTGGAACCAAATTCAAAGCATTGCAAATACTGATTAAACATTGCTTTGTAAATCTCTCATTATTTTGTAAATGACTGAAGCTGGATTTCAGACATACATCCTTTTTAATAGCAAACTGTCCTGTTATTTTTCCATCTTTTAGTTGGTGACAAAGTGCCTGCTGACATCCGAATCATTGAGATCAAGTCCACAACGCTGAGGGTAGATCAATCCATTCTTACAGGTAGGCATTTCTATTCCACAAGGGGGAAAGTATTTCTGAACATAGGTAGAGATGAAATTTGGAAAGTCCTACATGAAGGTTAAAATGAAACCAGTAAAATCCTAACAAGGTCATCATCATTTGCATGGCATGCTTTTCCATAGGTTAAAATAAGATACGAATTAAGGCAAATATACATGTCCCAGGAAAATGTTGTAGAATCCAATCTGGGTCAATGATTTTGGACTCGTGCTGGAGCCCATCCCCAGAAAACTTATCTCTCACCAGAATGTCTCTCTCACATTCTGGTGAGAGAAACCCATCCCTGAAGATGGGTTCTAGCATGAGTTCAAAAGGTCTGGTCTCAATGACCAACCCAGCTTTGATTCTAAAGTTAGAAAGGCATATTTGTGGCCTCCAGGTGCCATGCTTGTTGATGCAGGTGGAATCTATGGTCTAAAGCATCTTGTGAATACTAGAGACCTTATCCTAGTAAGCAGTAGAAATGAGGAAAAATCTGTTCTCCTTGCATTTCCTGGTCTTGCCCTGCCTCTTATCTCAGTGTTGAGTAGCATTTGTATGTGTGATTTGTAACTCAAATTAATTCCAAACTTGAAAGGTCTTGTTAGACAAATCATTCTTAACTTTTGAAGGAAAAGTGAATTTCAATGTTCTCTTTTTTTCTGCAGGCGAATCTGTCTCTGTCATTAAACATACTGATCCAATTCCAGACCCAAGGGCTGTTAACCAAGATAAAAAGAACATGCTTTTTTCTGTAAGTGTCCTCAGCTTATTTTATAAGCCTGCCCTGCTTCTGGGATGAAGCTTCTCTGTCCACATGTCTCTGGGGAATCACCCTGTATGATTGACAAATGGTAGAAACCTAAGTAGATTATATTATGTTAGGCTATAAATAGGTAAATAAGATTCACTGCATTTTTGAATGCAACCCAATAAAAAAGCAGCACAGTCAAGAATAATTTATATCTGATGTTCTACATATTTTTTGTTGGATGTTTGTTTTGGAGAAATAATACCTCCCTTCCTCTTCCCTGCAACTGCTGTCCAGTGTGTAGCAAATTCTTTGGATTGTCCCTTCTCCTTCGGTTAGTACAGATAGTTCTCAACTTACTTGAAGTTTCAATGGACCTCCCAAAAAGTATTTATGATCCAGCTCCAAAGTTCCAACTGCCTCCCTCCATGCAGGCACATGACTGCATTTCGTTCATTTATGACTGCTTGCCACATCCTGTGGTCATGTAACTGCCATTTATGACATTTTTGTTGAAAACCCGAACACGGCAATGGGTTTGGTTACTAACTGCAGCATTTGCTTAATGATCATGGATTTACTTAACAACCATATTGATTTGCTGAACAAGTGCCATAAATAAGGTCACAAAATCAGATCGGTCATGTGGGTGACCTTTTTAGGACTGTCACCACTTAAAACCGTAATGGGCTGACTCCATTATAGTTGTAAGTTGTGGTCTACCTGTACATGAAGGCCAGCCAACCTTTTTAATGCTCAGGATTGCATTGCTCTGGAGGTGATCAATTGGAGAGTGGGCAAAATTGAAGCCAGCGATGGGTGTTGTCACAGACCAAAAAGAAATTAGATGAAATTTAGAGATATAGCCTATAGACAAACAAATGTGGTTGGGAGGTAAGTAACCCCTTTTCTCTCTGATGCTGTCCTTTTCGCCTTCTGTTACCTGTTGTGCAGCTTCATAGAAGGGCTGAACTGTTTTGTAGATAGATTATGAAGTTAATCTAAGGGTTACATATAGCCCTATGGTCATCATTCCGATAGTCCAATCTTTCTGGTTGCATACCTTTTGATTATTGTCAGGTTATATTAGGGGACCCAAACTGGGCCAGTAACTTCTGAAACTTCTCCTGTAACTTCTGAAAAGTTGAAATGTGGGGGGCAGTATCAGGACTCATCTGAAATTGGGGCAATCTCCTGAATGGAAAAGTGGCAGAAAATATAAACAAGTGTCCATAATCAGTGAATAATCTGAGCTTTTAAAGAAGAGGAAATTCAATTCTTCTGAGAGATTAGCCCTGCAAGAGAATATGAAGAGTTTGAGAGCTGAGTGGATATAAATCTGGACTTCCATTGTTGTTCATTCAGAGATTGTCAACTGTCTTTTAAGGATATTATTTCTTGTAGTATTGTACATACAAGATGTAGTTTTTAGTAATGTTCATCCATGACTTCATGATAGTCCAATATCTAGAGAATTCTAAAAGTTGCTACCATAGAATATGGTATACTTCTATAGGACACTTCTTAGATCCTTAACTGGAGAATTGTCATATTAACAATGTTTTTTTTTTTTAAATATAAATGAAAATGAAAAAGTTTGGCTGGTTTCTTGGCCCACTACCTACTCATCTCCTGTTTTTGTGGGAAACCCTCAAAAGCCACTGTCAGGCCACAGGTAGCCCTGGTCTGTCAAAAGTTGTTGTTCAGAAGCTGAATTTAGGCTTCAGTGAGAGAACTTCTGTCAGCTTTGGAAGCCATATTAGTACCAGAAGCTTCCACGCTGCCACATTCCTGTGCCTGGGAAAGTAGGAGGGGGGATTTTTAAAGTGTTGGTAGTTAGACATAATAGCATTCTTCTTTGTGGTCAAGGTCATGTTATTCCTGCACCTGGAGGAGGAGTGGTTGAAGGGATGTTTCAAGTTGGGATGGTTGGCAATTGGACCATGTGATGGATTGATGGGTGCAGGAGTTGGGTTTTGACTTTTGAATTACTAAGGGAAAACCTGGAACTCTCAGATTCGGGTTTTCCCAGATGTGACAGTATAAGTACTCTAATAAAAGGAAACTTTGAGAAAATGCCTGTCTCGGAGTTTTTAATTGGAGTTAGGTATTTCTGGAACCCTGACAGCTTCATCTAAAAGGTTATCTGAGGGACTGCCTCTTGCCAGTCACATCTATCCCAACCAGAGGTGGGATTCAACTGGCATTACTACTGGCATAATAACCTTTAGCTGTGCCACCCGGACAGCTGAAAAGCGCTGCGCGCAGGTGCGCAGTGTTCAAAAAGCCTCTTTTCCCCTGATTTTTCAACCTCAGCTGTGCTGCGCAAACCAGATGAGGTTGAAAAAGCAAGGAAATAAAGGACAGGTAAGAGCCCGGGCAGACGGGTGAGCCAAACAGCAGCAAATGCAGAACCAGTACTGTGTCTGCTACTCTTCAGAGCTACCGGTTCTATAGAGCCGGGCTGAACCGGTAGCATCCCACCCCTGATCCTGACCCAATCCCTAGATCGGGGAAGGCAAGGAATGTTGCAGGTCCCATCCCTGAGGGAGATACACCTGGTGGGACCCAGAAGAAGGGCCTTCTCCATGGTGGCTCCCTCTCTCTAGAACATAATTCCCCCAGAGATTAGAATGGCCTCCACTCTAATACTCTTCTGGAAGGTGCTGAAGATCTGGTTCTTCCAGCGGGCCTGGGAAACACAGAGCAGGATGGAGCCATTAAATGCTCATGTAATGTGTTGTCGCTGGTGGGAGGGGAAAGAGTGGGGGGCTATTATATTATTTTATTAATTTATTATTTGATTATTTTCTTTTTATTAGTTTTATTTTTTATATATATGGTGTTTTATACCCCTGTAAGCCTCCTTTAGTCGCCAAGTGTGAATAGGTGGCAATATAAATGTTCTAATAATAATAAAATAATTTAAATATGTATATATTTTCTCATCCTAAGGGAACCAACATCGCTGCGGGCAAAGCTGTTGGTGTTGTCATTGCCACTGGAGTGTACACAGAGATTGGGAAAATCAGGAATCAGATGGTGGCCACGGAGCCCGAGAAGACCCCTCTGCAACAGAAGCTGGATGAATTCAGCCAGCAGCTTTCCAAGGTCATCTCCCTTGTCTGTATTGCAGTCTGGGTCATCAACATCAGCCACTTCAGCGACCCCGTGCATGGCGGCTCCTGGTTTCGTGGTGCCATTTACTATTTCAAGATTGCTGTGGCTTTGGCAGTGGCTGCCATCCCTGAAGGACTTCCTGCAGTTATCACCACTTGCCTGGCATTGGGCACCCGCCGGATGGCCAAGAAGAATGCCATTGTAAGGAGCCTCCCCTCTGTGGAAACCCTGGGATGCACTTCAGTCATTTGCTCTGACAAGACAGGCACCCTGACAACCAACCAGATGTCCGTCTGCAGGGTGAGTCCTGAAAATCGAGTTGTGTGGGATAGTAGACCTCAGCGCCAAATTAATTTCTGCATTCTCAGCTTGTTGCAAGTCTTCTAGTTCAGTTAAGGAGCTTGATTATTTGAAGGGGTCGCATTTATTTGCGCTGTATTTTTTGGTGTGCTTTGCCAGCAAAACCAAGAAGTTGGAGTAGCCAACTAGGTTTTCTACAGCAACATTTCTGAACATCCACATTTATAAAACAGATGTAAAAGTGGAGGTAGCATAGCCCCAGTAGAAGAGCTGTGCCACCAGGACAATGCTTGAATTATTGGGGTAGAGGAAGACAAGCCCTATGTCCATAGCATTTATTTACTCAATTTTATTCCAACTTTATAACTCAAGGCAGTGAATGTACATAATACTCCTTTTTTTCCTATTTTCCCCACAATAACCCTGTGAGGTGAGTTGGGCTGAAGAAAGAGTGATTGGCCAAAGTCACTCAGCTGGTTTTTCATGCCTAAAGCTGGACTAAAACTTAAAATCTCCTGTTTTCTAGACCAACACGTTTAGCACTGTACAAAACTAGCTTTCTGGTATCACAACAGTATTACAGAATTGGAAAGGGACACTTTGGTCTTGGGTCCAAACTACCACTGAGGGCAGGAATTTAAATTATCCATCCAAAGCAGGACATATTAAATGGATTTATTTGGAAACTCTCGTTTCCACCATTGATCCCCAAATACTCCAGGAGCAGCTTATAGTTCAATATCAAACAATATCGTCTTTGTTCTTATCCTAATACAGTACACACAAGGAAAAAGAATGGGGAAAGAAAAAAAAGAGAAGGCTTCTCAGCCACCAGATTTTAAAACTTCAGAATTCTTTCTTATAAGAATCAACTAAGATGAAAAAAGAAGGAAAAGTCAAAAAGAGCTTTAAGGTTTGGGAGATAGTTTTGGATTCATAAGTCAGGTCTGGAAGCAGCTTTTTGCTGATTAAAATGATCATGTTTGCCATGTAATGGATAATCTACTTGGATTTATTAAACATATGTGTTTATACTTTTCTCTCTTTCCTGCCAAGCTGGCCAGGAATTTTAAATTGAAAGGCTGAATTTATACCTAAATCTAAAAGGTTAATGTTGTGTCTTGAACTGTGTATGTGTGATCAAGTGCATTGTGTTTATAGAGTGTAAAGGAGAACAAGTTAACTTGGTGTTTACTGTTAAATTCCATATTCCCCACCTTAAAAGTTTCTTGTCTGGGTGCACATAGTGTAACTCTGAATTCTAGGTAACAAAGAAGGAACCTTGACATGTGTTTGCCAAGAGGAAAATGAAAGTGCAGATCTTAGAGCTGCTTAGATCACCTGTGTGTCCCTGGTAGCTAATGTGTGAAAAAAGGAAATGCCTATGTATTTCACATAAAAAAAGATGTTGAGACTAGAAGAAGTGAAGAGGAGAGCAACCAGGATGATTAGGGGATTGAAGACTAAAACATATGAAGAACGGTTATAGGAACTGGGCTTGGCTAGTCTAGAGAAGAGAAGGACCAGGGGAGACATGATAGCAGTCTTCCAATACCACAGGGGCTGCCACAGAGGGGAAGGGGTCAAGCACCTGAAGGCCAGACAAGGAATAATGGATGGAAATGACCAAGGAGAGAATCAACCTGGAAATAAGGAGAAATTTTCTGATAGTGAGAACAATCAACCAATGGAACAAAGGTTGCCCTCGGAAGTTGTGGGAGCTTCATCAACTGGAAGCTTTCAAGGGGAGATTGGATTGCCATTTGTCAGAAATGGTGTAGGGTCTCCTGCTTGGATGAGGGGTTGGACTAGATGACCTACAAGGTCCCTACCATCTCTGCTAATCTATGTTACATATTCTCACAAACAGTCCTCAAAATTCTTCTCGCTTAAAAGTCTCCGGGTCTGGCTTAGGTTCACCGAAAGGCAAATTGTATGCACGATCAGAGACACTTTTGATATGTCCTTGTTATCCATCCATTATCCTAGAAAACCACCACGTACATTATCGAAAACTAAATGTATATATATTTGCACTGCTTTCTAAATTAGGATGTGTGTAACCATGGTTTTATGAATCATGGATTCTCATCTGATTTGCAAATCACTAAATCTCCAAACAGAACAAATTGTAATATGGTGTAGAACAACGTGCAGCCGAGCCTATTTATCCACCACTGCTTACTTTAACCAGCGATAGTTCTCAAGAAGGAATTGCGAAACCATCAGAGGCTTCTGCTTTTGGAAATCCAGGAGAAAAGGTGAACCAGCTAACCAGACAATAGCTGTGCATGTTCTGAGAAGGCTAGCTTCCATGTTGCCCTAATCTTCCAGAAAGTCATAAGATGCCTGATGCAGTTGCAAAAAGGTTGCACACAAACAAAACGGAAGGTTGGAGTTCCCTTTTAAAGCATACCTTGGTTATCATTCTTTCTCGTTTTGTTTTTGTTCCAGACGGCAAATGAAGTATTTGCATAATGCTTTTCTCTCTGGGTTCAGGAGGCAAATTAATGCCTGGACTTGGGGGAAGGGGGTGGACTCTTCACTGTTTCCTTAGCAATGGAGCCTCGTGAATGGTCTGCAGTAATTTTGTGTATCCAGTGTGGGGGAGGCAGCAAGCCGTTGGATGATAAGCTGATGGGGGTCATACCCAGCAATGGAAGCATCACTTACTAATGAGGTGGTGGGAGGAATAGCTCATCTCTCGAGGAACCTGTTTTTAGCCCTTGCGTGCTGGGGTGGTATTTTCCTGGATCTAGTATGACTGGCAAGTAGCAAAATCAGTGCCTTGTCTCCCCAAAAATCATAGGGATGAGTGTTGGATGCTGCATGTTTAAAACAAAAATCAAACACATTTATACTGTTTATTTGCTTGTTCTTATTTACTACATTTATATGATACAAGTCCCATGGATGATAAATAAAAGAACGTTCAGAAGCAATGTATAAAAGAATAAAAGCATAATTGGATTATTTTAGATTATAGGATCAAGTTGACAAATGTGACTGACAGAGAAGAAAATAAGGGCACGTATGAGTTTTTAGAAATGTTCCATTTTCAGTTTATTATACTCAAAGCAGCCGTGTGACTTTGGCACTGAAATAGGAAATCCCACAAGTGTTCATTCCTTCCAAGATGGTCATAATGCAGTACCGGTACATTAATCATTATTAAATATATTATAGTAATATTACAGTAGTTATAACAGTTCCATTTTCAGGACTCTGATGGTTGCTAAATATAATTCTTCCCCCTTCCTAACCACAGACCCCCTGCCTGGGAAAAAGGCAGCCTGAAAATATGTTTACAATAGCAATCCATGACCCATTGGCTCATCATTTCACAAATATTTTCTACGTAAACAGAGAAACAGAGAAATCAAGGGCAAAAAAACATTGGGAGCAGGAGCGATTTCCAACTTCCTGCTGGCCTGACCACGGCTCTGCAATTGATGGTGGGACTGGTCTACCAAATCTCTGGAGAACTAGGGCAGGACCAATCCACCTGATCTCCAGTAGCAGAAAGAGGGGATAATCTACCTAGTGTACTGAGGGCTAGGGCAAGTTCTACTGAACTTCTGAGTGGTGGCATGGCAGCATAGCATCATTGAAGCAACCATAAATTTGCCAATTTTCAATCCCACAGAAGTTAGGAGTCCCAGATTTTGGACACATCTGGTAAGTTAGCCCATTTGAGGTACTTTGGTTCAAAAATTGTTGTCCTATGATACATCGTTTCATCCAGTTAAAGGTAACAGACAATAAGAGTTTCAATAGTATATGCAGTAGGTAAGTTCAGGATTCTGAGTACATTACAATTTTAGCATTTTAGACTACGTTTAAAATTAATAGCTTGAAAGCTCCATCGGTCTTCAAAAATTTTAGCAACTGGTTCTCTGCCTGGTTGCTGGGTAGGCATGGCCATGGTGGGTGTGGCCTGATCAGCTTCCTGCACCATGGCGGGAGAGGGGTGCTTTCACGCTCCCTGGGCTCCGGAAGCTTTCCTTGAGCCTCTGGGAGGATGAAAATAGCCTCCCTAGGCTCCGGAGGCCCTCTGGAAGCCTGAAATGGGCCTGTTTCTGGCCTTCTGCAACTTCTAGGAGGCCCGTTTTTCACCTTCCCCGGGCTCTGGAGGCCTTCTGTTTCCAGCCTTCCAGAGCTTCCAGGAGGCCTGTTTTTTGCCCTCCCTGAGCCTCTGCACAGGCCCTGTACTTGCCTGGGATCCAAAACAGGCCGTGTGGGGACTCCTGGGAGGGGAAGGGCAGGGTGGGCAGGGCCAACCAGAGATGGGATTTGCCGGTTCACCGAATCAGCCATAAATTTAGCTACCAGTTAGCTGCCAGTTTGCTTGAACCAGGGAGAACCAATAGCAGCCCACCCCTGCATAGAGCTCACTAGAGATGCTGGGCCAGTCAAAATCTTTCAGTCCAGACTCCAGACCATTTCACAGGGGTACTTTGGGAGGAGTAAAAATAAATAAAACCCTCCTACTAACCACCCCAAGTTTTCAAGAAGAAAGCTACAATATTTACTTGATTTATTGATGTGGATAATTGCTTTTCCCGGGAGAACAAGAAGTCTGTCTAGATGAGTAATTGCATATGGTGCATTGTGGTGGGTGTCTCTCTCTGTGTGTGGGTTGGTTGATTATTATGTAGGTTGTTATCAGGAGAGGTCAAGGTAGTATAACTCTGGTTGTGACAGACTGAGGGAGACATGGGGGTGCTGGGGAGGTCTTACGAGGGAAAGGAAGTCAGTAGTTTAATATTATCTATGTTTCTAGCCTGCTGACTCAATCCTGGGTCCTTATAGTTGAATTCCTGGTGAACTTTAGCTCATGTTGCTATTGATCTGTTAACCCTGAAACTGATCTCGCTGTAGGGGGGGATCTTTTTTCTTTTTGCCTCTTCTATAGTTTTCTCTCGGGTTTCTTTCATGTGGCTTCTGGCTTGACACAACTGGGAGCTGAAGGGGGCAGGGGTTTGTGACTAAAACAAACT